GGGTGGCAGAGCCCTGGAAGAGGCTGCCCAGAGAGGTGGTGGAGTCTCCTTCTCTGGAGACATTCAAACCCACCTGGACACGTTCCTGTGCAACCTGCTCTGAGTAAACCTGCTTTGGCAGAGGGTTGGACTAGATGATCTCCAGAGGTCCCTTCCAACCCCATGTCATTCTGTGATTCTGTGAGGTTGAAACAGATCTGTAGTATCTCTGCTATTACTTAGGTGGGCAGCAACAAGATGATTATCTCCTGAGTTTAGGTAGTGTTTTTTTTAAAATCATTCCCATGAGGATTTGTGTGGTACCAAAAGCGTGACAGGTCACTGGAACACAACTTCAGAGCTGTCTATGGTTTGTCCTCATAAAAAATCTCTGAAGCCGCTGTGTTCTGAGTTTGTGTTGTTTCTCTCTCTGAATTGGCTGCTGGGGAAAACGGGGAGTTCTCTAAACATTCTCATAGAATTTTTTAATGAAAGTTTACTCTCTTCCTTAAAGATGACAAGAAATGGCTTTAACCTTTCTTTTGCTCTGTCTTCCTGATGATTTTTATCATTCAAATCAAAGCAACAAAGAACTCTCCTCTAAAATCCCCACCTTGCTGTAAGATACTCTCTGGTCTGCCCTAGTGAACTCTCGGAATTAGTGCTCCTCATCCTTGCAAAGGATTAATAGCAATATGCATTATTGAACTTTTTTCAGGAATATGAAGCCATCTATCTAGCAAAATTAACCATCCAGATGATGTCACCACTGCAGCTGGAGAGATCCCTCTCGGTTCCACCTGGTACTACAGGTCAGAAGCCTCTGCTGTTGTGTGTGATGCCTCCTCCCTTCCCTCCCCGCTGTCAGGAGGTGCCTTTTGCACCCTCAGCCGTGGTGAATCTCAGAGTTTGGGAAGGAGATGGTGCAGTTGGTGTGCAAGACACCCTCAAACTCTAGTCTGCTGTACTTAAATATTCTGTTCTCCTATGGTTGAACTTTCCTGTGGTGTGACCTACTGGAGAAAGGCCCCGAGTTCCTTAGGGGAATCAAGAGTGATGGGCTGAAAGCAATATTCATGACATAATCACTGCCCTTAAAATTAAGGCAATTCCTCTGGAAAAAAAGCCTTAGAACAGATAACAGGGGATTTGGGCATGTAAAAAATGTTACCTTAATCATATAGAGTTGTTGCAGGAGCAACCCGTGCTGAAGGTCAGGGAAAATGGAGTTTGGTGAGAGATGTGAAGGGAGGGCAAAACATGGTGGGTTGTAGGAAAGTTCTCCTCCCTGTGGAGAAGTGTGAGGGAAGAAAAACGGTGTCAGAAGTGGCTGTTCAAAAGCTGAGTGTCTTCAAAGGGTGTCACAAGAAGGCGGTGACAACTGCCCTGTAGTTCTACTCACATCTGCCTGTTGTTGTGGCTGGTCTTCTCAGAGATGTCCTCCTTCCTCTTGCCTTTTGCAGGCAGTTTAAAGCGAATGCACGAGGAGGATGAAGAGCTCGGAACCATGCAAGCAGCGGCGGCACAGAACAGATGATACCCGAGGGCAGCACAGTTGGTATTGGGGGAATTCCTGCCAAGAAAGGTGAAGAAAACTAGGGGAAAAAAAAAACAGACCTAAAATACGAAACGGTGAACACACACACACACAGAGCTTCTCTTCAATGACATGTTGCTTTCAGATGTAAATCTGCCTCTGCAACACACTAAGCATCATTCTTAAGATGTTGGACTTCTTGAATGAATAGATGGCACTGATTGTCTTACTCCTTTTTTACACTTTACAGTTTTATTCTAAACCAAGACTTTTGGACTTGCAAAGAGGTATTATTGCAATAATGCACTTTTCATACTTGAAATTTCTTTATTTGTATGATATAAAGTTATTACTTTAAACAAAATGCAAGCTGGGGGGGGATTTGTTTATAAAGTTATTTGTGTAATTTATAACAAGAGACTTTAGTAAAGAAAAAGTTTGCTAAAACTCACCTTGTTTTCAGTGTATATTATGGGTTGTGCTTGTAGAAATCGAGCAACGGCAGGGATCGAAGCAGTATTTATTTTAAAGTATACAACTCTTTGCTTCATTATATACTGAAGTATTTTGAGAAGGATGCTCTCGAGTCCAATTTAAGAGAAAATACTGCTCTAAAAAAATCTCTGCTTGTTTTATGCAAGTTCAACTTGAACAGAGCGCTGGTTAATTATTTAATAAAATAATCATGTACTGAATGAATACAGAGGGGAAGCTCCCAATTTTAGACACATCAAGACTGAATGCTTGTTAAATTAGTTATAGGTTATTAGTTGACCAAGCCTGTATGGTCCAGAACAGCGCATCTGAGGGCAGATGTCACTGAATGGGAAGGCAGGAATCAAACCAGCTAAGCCATTTTGTGCTGTGAGTATCTCTTCTGATGCCACCTTCTGCTGGTGGATCCTTGGTTTGCTTTGTGGGAGTTGTACCTTGCTGTGTGTGCTCAAGGCGAGCTGAGCTCGCCTTGACCACACACAGCAAGGTACAACTCCCACATGTTGTTGGAACAGATGGTGGTGACACCTGAGAAGGAGGAAATCCTCCTCTGTCAGGGCTTTTGGCTGAGCTGGGATACCTGGGTCAGGCTGGAGGATCTGGAGAAGCTTCAGTGGAGGCTTGTTCATGTGTAAGCTGGTTCTGTGATCTCTCCGAGGGCCTGGTGATTCCCCGGGGAGACTCTTTACAAATGAACAAGCTTCATGACTAAGGATTTTCCACCAATCTTATTTTTTTTTTATATATAGTCATTCTGCTCCGTCTGCTGCCTCACAGCCTCTCCCATCCTAAGGGAGTTGGAGATTAGTTTTCCTTGTGTATCTATTATTAAGCCTTTTATTTAAAACTTCTTGACACCTGTCTCATTTAGCTCACTACCTATAGGTATTTCAATTACTGATTGCTTTCTGGGGTCAACCCAAAGGTGGTAATTAGCAGCAGGGAAGTGAGCAGAAGGCTCACTGTGGCCTCCCAGTAGCAGTAAAGGTTCAATTTTCTCTCTTCCCCAGGTTTGGATGCAAAACTGGAGGACCCAGATCTTTGGAGATCTGGAGCTCAAGTTCCTTTTCCAGCTCTAGGGAAGGAGCTGGAGATTTCTTCCTCATGGGGGAAGAGCTGCCATCCAAAAAATGTCCAGAACATGAGCTCTGCATGCAGATCAGCCAGATTCCACCCAGCAGAGCCATTGTCCTGCAGCCACAAACCCAAACTCTCAACCTAATTAATTAGTTTTACAATGCTCTAAGCAGGGTACACAATCACATCCTCCTCATTTGTACTAATCTTTTTTGTTAACTCTTAATGAGGGCCTGGAGCTATTTAGATGGTATAGATATCATAGATCTTCAAATTAGATCTTGTGTCAGCAGAGCACATGGGGGAGAAGCCCGGCTCTCCCTCAGGGGAGCACAACTCTAAGAAAATGGGTGAAAACTACCGAAAGAGCTGATAGTTTCCTTAAAATCAGTACAGAATCTTAAAAAGTGTTCTTTTCAGGCCAGGGAAAGGAAAGCAAAGGTATTTAGAGGAGGTATGGGCCTGTTCTGAAAGATAACAGGTACACCCTCACTGTGGATACCTACTGCAATATGAAAAGCAGACCAGACACAGTTGGCAGTCTTCATTTATTCAGCTTAAACAAAGATTTTTTAAAAAAATAATCAATAAATAAACCAGACATCACCAAGGGAACACTATATTGAGTGGAGTACCATCAGGAACATTAAATAGAACCCCCACCACAGCTTAAAGTAGCTCTCCACACCACAAAGAAAGAACATTTTGTAAGGCCCAACTGTTCACAAACAAAACTGGCTGTTCTGTACGAACCTTCGCGTATCTATAATGCCCTATTCACAGACGTGGGATTTCTCACTCTCTTTGCACAAAAAGCTACTGTTGAAACCAGGGCTTTGTATGTTATTTGCTTGCCATCACTGGCAAAAGTGCTCAAATCAATGATCCAATCTTCTAACGAGGGGATGCTCCAAAGCAACAACAATCCCTGGGGATTTCCCTGCCGGTTTGCGGTTTCCCCCTTAACCTTTGCCCCATGGCAAACTTTTGGGGGTTAATCAGAAAAAACATGTCATTATCCTGAAAACAAAGTTATCAGCTAAAGTGCAGGACCCCTGCAGTGAGAAGTACGCAGCTGTTTTCAGACTCTGCCCATCAGGATCCTCCCCTACCCGCACAAATAGTACCTAATTCGGTTTAAAATAGTGCCTGTATAAAAGTTGAGCTACAGGAGTTGGCAGCAGAACTTCAGGAAGATTCTAGGGAAAGGACACAACAACTGCCCGTTCTGTGTCACTAAATCCTGTGGAGAGAGACACTGTCCCTAGCCGAGCCACATCCTCCTCCTCCTGCCCAGTACAGCCAGAACAACCCCCGGCAGCTGCACTTGGGCCACCGAGAAAAAGAAGCGCAAACCTTTAGAAAAATACAATGCAAGAAAAAATTTGAGATAAAAATATAGACCTTTGGTTAAAAACCATCCCTTGATCAAGAGTCCTTTGGAACTCAGCTAGAACAAAAAAAATGCTTCACTTTGACTGAACAGTAGTAAAAATTAGTTCTAAGAGCTTATTTCCTAACCCAAAGGACCCTTCTAAAATGTATTTTTTTTTTGTAGGATTTACACATTTGATGTTCGTTATTTATAGGGATTGTTATATCTGCAGCAATAAACTATAGAAATTTTCCACGAAGAGAATGTTTGTAGCACAAGCTCCTCCACCAACAGTCTTTACAAAAAAAAAAGTGAGTAGAAGTTCTTAATTAATTAAAGAACCGTTGAAACATGTAGTTTTCTTCAGATACCAAATAACCAAACTTCTTATAGAAATCCACGTTTTTTGGCAGACACTCCAGTGTAATTTTGTAACAGTTCAGTCTCTTACTTAGCAACGTCAGGGTGGCTGTTAATCTGAAAGAGAGGAAAAACCAAGGGTTAAATGAAACTGTTCCTGAACTGCTCAATTAACATTTAATTAAAGAACCGTTGAAACATGTAGTTTTCTTCAGATACCAAATAACCAAACTTCTTATAGAAATCCACGTTTTTTGGCAGACACTCCAGTGTAATTTTGTAACAGTTCAGTCTCTTACTTAGCAACGTCAGGGTGGCCGTTAATCTGAAAGAGAGGGAAAACCAACGGTTAAACGAAACTGTTCCTGAACTGCTCAATTAACATTTAATTAGCTGAAGTTATCAGACCTACAAGAGTGAAGTTTTATGGCCCTTTGCTACACAGGATAGAAAAAAACCAAAGCACCAACATCTTGCAGATAATTTTATGGCACCAACCGTGTCACCTTCGGGCTGGGGGGTGACCTGCCCCACAGTGCTGAATCCCCAGTGTGGTGGTACCCACCAGTGTGGTGAACTGGGAGGGGGGAACAGAAACCCCCTGGGCAAAGGCTTGCTGTTGGATGGCAACAGTGGTGAAATACTTACAGTTTACCGAGCTGCTTTCCTCTGGACTCCCCGCTGACTACTACATCCTCTATCCGTCCTCTCTGTGAAAACAGAGGCAGGTGTCAGTTGAAGAGAACAGTTTCCGCACCGTGCTACTCCTCACGCTTGGATTTTCCACTCTCTAGTTTGATACAACCCCCCAACAGCTGACGTGCTGGTAATGCCCCTTCCAGCACCCAGCAGGAACCACAGCCCCCCCACAGCTTTCCCTCCAGCTCCCCGTTTTCACACATCCAGCAGCGAGATCCTCAACCATCTGCTCCGGCAGAACCGAGTCTGACTGGATCAAAAGCTCGCTGGGAGGGAGAATGGGACAGACTCCGTTGCTCTTTTTCCTTAAGAACAGCCCAAGCTTCTTTGTACTATTTAGCTGAGCACCCAAAGATGGGAGATATTTTTGAAATGCCTTTGTCACTGACTCAGCAGAAGGTATGTCATCACACAGTAACACCATAAAAATAACAGGCGCGGAGTCTGGGGACAGGATCTTTTCCCTCACTTTACAGCTGCAGGAAGAATATACCTTTGCACAGGAGTGAGTGAACTTATGTTCTATCACCAGCGTTGCCGTAGCAACAATCTGTCCAAGATTGGTGTCTTCTATGACAGTAACGTAGTAGTCTCCAGATCTCTTCATGTGCTCGAAGGTTTCTGTGGGAGCAGACAGACAGCGCAACGGTCACCGTTAATCCCAGATTAAACTGGGGAAGTCTTAAGACTCACAGCAGATTCTTGCCAGGTGTCTAAAGCTCAGTCTGAAAAGCAGGTACAGAATTTAGGCCCCTGGGGGATGCCTGCGACTGGATCCAATGCTGAGTGCCAAAAGCTGAGCTAATAAATCCCTCTGGCATCGGGCAGTCGGGAACCTCACACCCAAGCAGCTTTGCTGTGTCAGCATCAGTATCCTCTGGTTCCTCTAGGGAAACACCAAGAAATAAGGATATACTCACTGATAAACTGCTCTGGGCTCACAACTCCAGTTTCCGTCAGCTGACCCAGAACCTTAAAAAAGCCTGTTAGAAAAGAAAAGAAAAAAAAAACACAAACCTTTAGACAGAGACACACAATTAGGTCCAAATGGCACAGAACAACCCGCCATGGCTGTTTGGAGAGTGAACATCCCCACGGCACCAGCCAGTTCTACAGAACTGTGGAAGTCTCCACGCACTAAGAAGAACATGGTGGGTCACATTACTTAATATTAGAGGGAACAGTATGAACAACTGCACTCCCTCTCTAAAGCTGTGAATTATTTGGAAGATTTGACTTGAATTTTAAGATGTTTTTTGAGGTTATTCAAACAGTCAAACCAATTTTGAGGGTCAGCCAACACAGCACCAATCCATGATGCCAAGCGCTCCAATTCCTTACTGGTAAAAAATAAGCCAAATCAGCTAAAACAGGTAATCCTAATTTGTTGAGAGATAATGCAGAAATACACCCCATCTAGTTCAGCACCCAGCTTTTGTTCGTGACCATCATTAAACAGGATTCTACCTCGATTTAAATCGGCCGTGCAAAGCGGTCTCAAAACTAGACCATCTCCTGGATCTAAAGGAGAAATAGCAGGAGAAAATGTCGTCGTGTTCTCGCTCCAGTCGAGTTCATGGAGAATATTTGGGTCAAACATCGGCGTGTCATCGGGCATCAGGGTTGCAACGGGCATCATGGCTGCAACAGGTGTTCTGGAAAAGAAAGCACATGGATAAGGAATGCTTTGGTTTGCTCGTTTTAATCCCTAAATACGCTATTTCTCCTGGTTCTGTCATGCCACGTGGTGTTCCTCAGTGATGTAAAGAAAGGTGAATGAAACCACAACTGCTGTTTGCTTTATCTGCGATTGAAGCTCCTCGACCTTCACCAGAGCAGGCCGCTGGGTTAAACAAAGAGCACACACACTGACACTGTTATCTAAAGTCAACACAATTTCTGTGTTCATCTGGGAAGTTTTTTTCTCTTGGGAAAAAAATAATAAAACAGATAAAACATTGACTAAGAAATTTAACTCGTATAGACCTTGGAAAAGGAAAGCATCTCACACTCTTAAGAGTGTTTCCCAAGTACAGAGGAGATCACTTGCATTCGTGTTCCATTTTAAACCAGTGGTAGGAATAATGCACTTTTTTCCAACCAGTCCCATCACATAAATAGTTAGTATCTCAGCCAAGAGGCACTGTGTGGCATGTATAAAACCACAGATGATACAACAGCCTGCTCACACTCTTCCAGCCCGTGCTGCCTTTCTGGGGTGCTCGTATTTGCTCAGTGTATTTACAAAACCTAAGGCCATGGCAGCTGCAAAGCGCAGCACCTCGTTGTCCTGCACCAGGTAAAACACAGAACTGCCCAGATGACGGTGAGACACCTGTTAATGATTAAAGAGACACTGGGGAATTGTGCATTATTCAGCATTGGGGATAAGAGGAAGCAAAGGGATATATTTTCCTAATTTCTAGGTATAGGAAAACAGTTCTTACATTATCACCTGTGGAATACCTAGTATGAGCGGAGATTATCACAGGAACTTCTCCTGCGACTAAGTTCTTTACACATCTTCAAATTAACTTAGCTGCACCATCAAAAAATATGGTAGTCACACACTTTTGGACAGGCCAAACAAACATCAGAAAGAAAAATGTATTTGGGATGGATACTTTTCCAAATAGGGCATCTCACAGCCCTGTTAAGCTGCCCAGAGAAAGTACAGGGGATGTACTATGAAGCACCTCAGCGTAACTGCAGCTCACACCTCTCAAAACAGAAGGTGGCTTTGGAAACCCAACTGAAAAAGCTTCTGAAAAAAATATACCCAAAAACAACAACAAAAAAAACCCCACCACAAAACAACCACAAAATCTTTTTTTTTTTATGCCACCTGCTGGTACACACTGGCCTTTAAATCCCCATTCTCATCTCAATCTTGCATATAAAATTAAAAAAAAAACAACTGCTGTTAGAACAATTAAACAGCAATAAAAATTCTCATCCCACATGAATTTTCAAAAGGAAACCGGGAAAAATGAAGAGCAAAGAAAAACATTTTCCCAGACAGGAGAGTCGGAAGTGAGAATCCAGCTCTTCCAAGTCCCAGTCCTGAGCTTTAAAACAACAACAAAAAAAACCCCACCACAAAACAACCACAAAATCTTTTTTTTTTTATGCCACCTGCTGGTACACACTGGCCTTTAAATCCCCATTCTCATCTCAATCTTGCATATAAAATTAAAAAAAAAACAACTGCTGTTAGAACAATTAAACAGCAATAAAAATTCTCATCCCACATGAATTTTCAAAAGGAAACCGGGAAAAATGAAGAGCAAAGAAAAACATTTTCCCAGACAGGAGAGTCGGAAGTGAGAATCCAGCTCTTCCAAGTCCCAGTCCTGAGCTTTATTGATCAGATCACACCGATACCTGCAGACGACTGCAAGACCACAAAATCTTTTTTTTTTTATGCCACCTGCTGGTACACACTGGCCTTTAAATCCCCAACAACAAAAAAACCCCCACACAAAACAGTGTGTACCTGCTGGTACACACTGGCCTTTAAATCCCCATTCTCATCTCAATCTTGCATATAAAAATAATAAAAAAAAAAAATTGCTGTTAGAACAATTAAACAGCAATAAAAATTCTCATCCCACATGAATTTTCAAAAGGAAACCGGGAAAAATGAAGAGCAAAGAAAAACATTTTCGAGCTTTATTGATTGGATCACACCGATACCTGCAGACGACTGCAAGCCCCTCACCAGCGTATTAATTACATCACTGCTAATCAAAACTCCCAAAAATCAAAGCCTCCCTGGTTCCAGCAACACATTTGGTACCTCTGTTCCTAGATCTTGGTTACTCTAATGTTGCTGTTACCCCGTCCTGTTACAAAGTCTTCCTAGAATTCATCAATTCATTCACAACACTCAAATAGCATCCTGGACAGAATAAAATAAACGTAATAAATTGCAGCTCCGGGGTTACAGAACACACAGCGGCAGAAAAAACACATGAAGAAAATAATTTTTTTTATGCTTTTCTAGCAGCCAGTATTTTTTTTTAAATGAAGTTATTTTTCAAACTACATCCGGCACTGATGGAGCAGGAAGAAGTTTGAAGGTTCACGCATTTTCTGGAGGCAGGGTCATGCCTTACTCACTAGAAATGCATCATTGGCCAATTAAAAAAGGATCAATGTACGGGAAGGAAGAACTCGGGCCTGTCTCGATGGGTGGCCAGGCTCCCTTCCAGGCCTCCTGCGAGCCCAGGTATTGACCCTGGTGCACACCTGAGGCATCCCCTGGAGCATCCCGGGCTCCAGGAGCTGGATGAGGGCACCTTCGGACCCTCTCACCCATCCTACCTCACTCTGCTCCGTGTGGGAAGCCAGCAGGGAAGAGAGCACGGTATGTTGGGGTCCCCACGGCCCCTCACCTCACCCTCTCGGGGGTAGGGATCCCCTCACTTCTCCTCCAGCCCCTCGGGGGGATCCCCTCACCCCCTACCCTCACCCCCAGCCACTCGGGGGGATCCCCTCACCCCCTGACCCTCATGGGGGGGGGAAATCCCTCACCCTGCCCCTCAAGGAGGGGCCTCCCCCTGCCCCTCAAGGAGGGGGGTCCCCTCGCCCCGTCACCTCACCTCACCCCCAGCCCTTCGGAGAAGTCCCCTCATCTCACCCCCTGCCCCTCGGGGCGTGGGGGGGGTTGTCTCCTCACCCCCTCACCTCATCCCCAGCACATCGAAGGGGGAATTCTTCACCCTACCCCTCAAGAAGGGGGTCCCCTCGCCCCATCACCTCACCCCCAGCCCTTAGGAGGAGTCCCCTCATCTACCCCCCTAGCTCTTCGGGGGAGGTCCCCTCACCTCACACCCGGCCCTTCGCGGGGGGGTCCCATCACCTCACACCCAGTCCCTTGTGGGGCGGGGAGGCCTCAAATCACCTCCAACCCCTGGGGGTGGGTATCCCCCTCACCCTCTCACCCAACCTCTCGAGGGGGTTCCCCAGCCCCTCGGGGGAGGCGGCGGGGGGGGGGGCCCCTCCCCTCCCACTCACCA